CTGTCGAATACGGGCCCCCTTCGAGTAGCTTCCTTCTAGGGCGGCTCCAGCTCGCTTCTATGAAACCACACCTGTATAACCCCTAGTACCACAATTCCCGTAAAAGACGTTCCACAGGTTTCCTCTTTTTGACACCGGCCACATACGTTATCCTTGTCTGCTTGCGAAATGCGAAATTTATTTCGAATTGATTTCACTATCTTTGCATAACCCAGAAACTTGAGGAGAAAAGGGCTGGTCATACTTAAAAGAACACGTAAACTGTCGAGAATTTGAATAACGAAGCATTCGCTACCTTCAATGGACAATATTTAAGATGACACAATTTCTTATAATCCGGCCGCATACGAGCTCATATTTTTGTCCCTCTGCTATAAGAAACTTACTGATGTTGATCAGTCATCAAAATTTCAGACATATGCAGACACAAATGAGACTGCAGAATTCTTCAGAGGCATATCTTGCATTCCGCGGCATTGGCTCTTCGAGGACCATTTTTCCAGCCACCCTCAGAAACTGCATTTGCTAAAACATGACTACTTAAGCAGTGTGTATCTTTCGTCGTTTCGCTTGACAGACTGAATAGCTGAAATAGTATGTTGTGCGAAAAATGCAGGAAAGTTTCTTTTCCTCCCCTTTGTGGACCCTCTACAAATTTTTTGCATGAGGAAGCAGCTACTTTTAATTGTAGTGTGTTGTTTACCTATTCCTTTACGCTTTTTAAGCCCAACCCGCTGTTGAAGTTGGGGTCGCTGAATTGCCGGCTGTGTGCTTTTTATCCGTATATTTGATATAAAACGAAATTTTACGCAATCTGGGCACTCAAATAAATAGGCAGAATGTTATTACCGACAAAGACAAGGGAGACTGGGATGGCCACTTCCGGCTTATTAGACATCGCCAGCCAGCCATACCCAACCCCAAAGTGTGGAACACCCGAGACTCGAACTCGCGACCTGTTAGTTAGAAGTCCAACGCCTCTAACCACTGGGCCACGAGTCCCTTACAGTGCTGAAACTCACTGTAAAGCATTCGCACAGTTTAAGCCGTCACTTGCCAGTGAGCGTGATTCTTGCGACCGGATAAGAGCCTAATCCAAAAGAATAGCAGACTGGTGCTAATGGAACAGTCAAGGATAGGGTAGTTCTTACTAGTGGGAGCGGTATTTTAGAATTTCAGTCAGTGTTTCTTTGAGGTTCGATGCCTACTGATTATGCTTCTTGAGTAGCTATCTCTGTCTCGAATGTAGGGAGGGAATCTCCCCAGATAAAATCAACTTATAAGGCCCTGCGTAGTGAATATCCGACCCAAATATATATATAAAAAGTTCAATCATTGTTTTAGGTACCTCACAGCAGACGGTACTCAGGGAACTCACGGTTTTGGGCACGCATGACAGGCCCCTATGGAATGGAATATTTCAGATGGGAATTCAAAAGTTGACGATGGGGTGAATGCCATTCATAAATTCTCGATTTCCTCCATTCTTCAAGCTGAAGAAAGCCGGTAAGAGCACTGGAATGCAGATTCCCCTCCTTGGTGCAGGTGGCTTTGCACTAAATTCTAGGGGGTGGGGGAAAGAGGTTGCGGTTGGGACACGGAAAGAGATACCTATCTGCTGGAATTTGACGCAAGGTCGCCCGTATTACAAATGGTCCTTATTGGCATGTCCAACCCGATGGACTGCCACGAGATTTTCTACGAGAAGCCAGTGCACACGATCACCGCTTGGCGAATTGCCCGCCGTCAATTGTTCATGCCGCATTTGCCGAAGCGAGGATTAACGTATTGGGACCTCCACTGACACCCGTCACTGGCTTTGTGACAAGTCTTCCAAAATCAGAGCGGATATCTCCGAGAGCATGACTCACTCAGAGCTCGTTCCCTGCTCTCACTCCCCCCCCCCAAGCCAACCAGCATAATACCACACACGCCACTGATTGTAGAGCAACGAGGTTTTCACGCAACTCTCGGCAGAGTTGCCTTTTGGCAGAATTGGATTTTGTCTAACCAGGGAGCACTTGCCAGTAGTATGGTATAAATTAGCAAAACAGCTGCAGGCATGACGAGCGCGAACAAGGGGAAGCAACAGCACCCATTAATCGCCTGTGAGATTTATCGCTCGTAATAACAACAAAAAACTATCAGAATAACCGTTATCCTAAACAAAGCCAGTTAGATGTACTTTTACCAAGCTGCTTGTTAGTCTGCCTGCTTTTCACGTCTTGTTTCACCCTAATCCTCCCGCTGTTGAGTTTGTTTTACTCACACTTTTGTCCGATTTACATGGACATTTATAATAACATAAAAATTGGCTGACTATCCGTGTAATCTTGACAATGGGTCTTAGTTAATTAAAAAACGTGAGTGGACTTGAAGTCGCTTCGAAACAAACAAACTGTTCCGTAACATCTCAGAGAAGACAATGGGCCGTTGGATCAGTGTTTGGGGTCTTGGACTTATAACCAAAGTGAGTTTGAGCTTCAGGAGTGCAAACCTGGAGGGGCTGATGATGGCTAATAAGTCAGAAATGGTGACTCTAGTCTCCCTTATCGGTAGGCGTCGGTTACGCTGTTATAGCTTCAAGTGTAGGCGTAACGTGGACATGACAAGTAAATTAAGTCGAAGGACGATGCTGAAATCGTTAGTGGGAAAGTAGCCAAAGCTAAAATGGAAAGGCAGTCTGATGTTTCGGTTTCGAGGTAGGGTCAATTTAAGGGCCTGGGTTAGTGTTAGGCTGAGAATTGCGTTTTTGGTTAGGGTTCGTGTTAAGTTTAAGGGTTCCGTTTAGAGTTAGAGTTTGGATTGAGCTTTGGGTTTACGTTTAGTGTTAAGGTTGAGGTTTAGGTCAGTGTAAGGGTTAGGGCTAACGTTAAGGCCATGGTTAGGGTTAGGGTTTTGGTTAGGTTTTGGGCACTCTTTCTTTGTTCTGGATTATGTTGAGTTTCAGATCGACCTTGAGATAGCGCTGCGAACTTCATGATTTTCGGCGTTTTCATTTGATTGGCCGTAAAGGCAGATGTTCTATTATGTTTGTTAAAACCTTTAAAAATAGAGTTTTTTGAAGGCATTTACGGAAGTAACGAGTGTTTGAGCACGCTTTTTTTCAAGTAAAAGGTAGTTTGGATCACATACGAAGACTCCTCAAACATGAAGTTTCATTGTCGAATTAAAAAAGCGTGCGCGAAAAAAGTCAGCAACGAATAGGCTTTCGATCAAGTAGAAAACTTTCTTTGATGTGTTATCTTCTCGGAAATGCACTTATACTGAACTCTGTTGACGGATGTCTGGGTAATTCACATTTAACACGGTGAAGCCAAGAAATAATTTGACACTTTTGGCTTTTTCTTCCACGTCGTTGAAATAGTGGTCATTTTTATGCTGCCAACAGAAGAACACGCTCTGTTATTTATATTGCGTTCATTTTCGTTATATTTGCTCCGTTATATGTCCCGTTCTGGGATTATTAATGCACAGCAGACTGGCCGTATAAATACTGGTATTTTTTAAAACTACTAATATTTTGCTTGTATATAAAAGAACCAGATCGCATTGGAAGTAAGGTCTCATATGATTAAAACTGAGCATGTTCATTGGGTTATAGTCTTTTTGATGTCACCTCATAATGATTTCTAAATGACAAAACAGTTTCGGTCCATTTAAACGACAAATTGCATTTGTGCGCGTTACTGAACTTTAGGGCACCAGATCATATTATATTTGCTAGTCTGATTTCTAAAAATCGATGAGGCGTGTGCTTCCCTTAAAATGACCTGCCGTTCCTTAAACGGTTGGCATCGGATCAAAAACCAATTTTCCGGTGTGTCAAGCTCTGTTTAGCAAAACTCTCGAAAGTAACTTGCTCTTCTTTTAAAGAAAAACATGCTGAGATGTGCAGAAAAGTCTACAACAGGTATTAAAATATCGGATTGCCCGAATACATCGCAACGTCCATTTTCACTCAAATTCACGAACATTCTGCATGACGAAATTGCTTAGACACATTTCCTGCTCCGGGGAGGGACACTTACTTGAAGGAGCTGGGTGAGTGAGCAAAATGTGCAGTGACCAATGTGCCCGAAAATTACCAAATCAGTTTTTGTCATCAAGTTTCGCGAGATAGGCGACCGGTGAAGCGATCGGTGAGCTCAGTCTGCCATATTCCATATCGTGACTGACATGACAAAGTGCCCGTGGCTCAAGGATAGAGCGTTGAACTTACTGGCGCTCGAAAACCAAAGAACAGGAGTTCAAGGCGCTGGTAGGTCAAAGCTGGGTTTACGCATGACCAGCTGACGACGGCTAATGACTAAATCATCCCCACCTGTTTTTCCGGATAGTCTGCCACCTGCAGAAATCACACTTGGCAAAAACTGGCTACTTAAGTAGCACGCTTTTAGCATTGATTTTTGATGATCATATAAATCCAAATATACTTTATAGGAAACATGCGCAAAAGTATGTCTTATTTTACTCGTTTGGTAGAAAATCACGTTGCCTTCACATATTATACTCGAAGAAAGTGTATATGTAGGTTTTAAAGAGGTTTCCAATTATGTGATTTTTAAGACCGCGCGATGTCCATACGTACAACACCGCACATCTCCGTTTACCAATGCTCTTCAAGAAGTGTACAGCATAGTCCGCATTCATTGGAGAATTTTATGAACTCTCTATGGTGTCTTCTTAAAGGCATGAGGGAATATATGATCTTCAAAATTATTCGGGAATCAGAAAACGTTTTCAAAATCTAGATATGCAATTTCATTGAACATAATATATGAGGGTGAAGTGATTTTCTACCAAACGAGTAAAAGAAAGCATATATTTGAGCATGTTTTCTATAAAGTATATTTGGATTTATAAGACCATCGAAAATCAATACGAAAAAGCATGTTACTTAATTACTCGTTTTTTTGCCGACTGTGGTTTCTGCAGGAGGTCGAAAAGAAATGCATTTAAAAGCCCACATCCTGGCAAATCCGAAATACTATAGGATTATGCTGCAGGATAATCAGTATTTCAACCCCACCTGGGTAATTGTTCCTAATCGAAAACGTATTTCAGAGTTTTTGTCAACAATTCATGAGGTTTGTCATGCACTGTATATATTTCTTGAAGGCAACTAAGTCCGTTGACAGAAACATGTTCTAATTTCACGAGATTCCTGATCGTACACATCAAAAAGGCACGCATTGAAGACAAGGAATTCGAGGAAGTTAATTTCTGGCGGTTCAACCTGCCAGTCCTATCCAAATATGAGGTCTGAGAAGGCCTTGACATTGTTTGTTGGGAAGGCATCTGTCCTATCAGCTAACTCGCGGAAATTGACTCTATCAACTTTGCAGAAACGTGAATGTGAGACCTATTCGAAAGGCTTTAGGCAGGAGACAAAAGACGGCAGAATGTCCCTGATTCCTTCCACAGTCCGGCCATCACCTTGGACACCTCTGTCACGTGACTCAAGGCACCGGCGTTTCCTTTTTTAGTACTAATGTCCGGAGCAGCAATTTACCAAAACAACCGGATCGTTTCTGCCAAAGCCGAATGAGGGGCTAGTACCGCGGATCAACGGCCACGATACTCCGGCATTTCCATCGTCGCAGATTGTCAGCGGACATTCTGCGCAGGGATCGGCCTCACCGAACATCTTCGGACTCGATGGACCGCCTCCACCCACCGCCCCAAATATGCCCCCCAGTGCCACCAATACCGTAACCCCCACGACGCTTGCGACGGCAAACGCTACCACCACCACCACCAGGGGCGAGCAAAGACCCGATGCCCTACCGTCGCCCACCACCACCTCCATAATCACTGTCGCAACCCCCGCGCCAGCGGCGACGGCGACTGCACGGATGCTCATGTGACCGAATAGGCCGGTGCAGTGAAGGAATGGGCGTGGGTAGTGTGGTCAGTGGAGGCTGATACAGCAAGTGTATGTCGGGCCTCCTGGTGCTGGTACGCCGGTCTCGATGTGATGGATTCGCAATTGACCGAGCAAGCCGATGCGTGAGGCGAATGTGAAATAACAGTGGGATCAGTCTGGGGCCGAGTCCACATTTCTGGCGATGTGAGAGTTGATGGCGAGGGTATCGATTAACGGGATATCTGGAGTTTTGAAGAAGAAGACACGATCGCCGGGACAAGAGCTTTATTAGCCTGACGTTTCGGATTCCTGCTCGAATCCATCATCAGAGACATAAGCAGATAAGGGTGGTTCATGCACATGTAGCTGCAGTATTTATAGGATGCAGTAACCATGCTACCGCATACCTATGAATATTCACGGCTCTCTCCCCTTCATCAGGGATCGTTGCACGTGGCGTGATGACCGATATTCGCGTCGTTAAGTGCTGCAATTTCATCACGTGCGTTGGATGTTGGCGTGATGATTTCTCGACCATCTGACGCGCTGACCCGGGTGTTGGGAAGAGTGTTCACCAGTGCGCTCCCCGCGTGGCCAATTACTCCGCCTAGACGAAGTCTCAGCACGCTGTATTGAATGGGAAGATCATTGCACTTGTTGATAGACTGGGGGCCAGTAAACCATGACTCAAGCAGCTCCCGGCTCACGCGGTTGTTACCTCTTGCGAGAATTTCGGCCCATCAAATTTGAATGTGTGGCCGGAACCCGTCGAATGAGCCGCAACTTGAGAGCTGGCGTCATTTCTCCGCACTGCTGCAGCGTGTTCGGCCATTCGCGTTCGGAGCTGTCTTCCGGTTTCTCCGACGTAGTTACTTTGTCCGCAACTGTACCAGATCCGATAAACGACTCCAGACGTTTCTTGCCGTGGCAGTGGGTCTTTTGGTTTCATCAACTGACGCCTGATGGTTGCCTCCGGTCTGTGTGCAACTCCAACCCCAAGTGGTGCGAGAAGGCGGCCAACAGCTTCCGAAACGTTCTTGACATATGGAAGCGCTCGCCAAACTTTGGTGTCCGTGCGGTTAGGCCTTTCGTCCATTTGGCGTATGCACCGGTTGACAAAGTTGCGCGGGTAGCCATTGGCTTTGAAGACCCGTCGGAGGTATTGTAGTTCAGCAATCTTGTCTTCCGGCTCACTGCAGTGTGTTTCGACACGCCGATAGAGCGTCCTTACACAACTGCGTTTGTGACTGATTGGGTGGTTGCTGTTGAAGTTCAGTACTTGCATCGTATTTGTCGCTTTCCTGAACACTTTAGTCTTTAGTCCACCACAATCCTTGCGGCATACGAGGACATCCAGGAAGGCCAGCTGGTTGTTCTCTTCCTCCTCCATCGTAAATTGTATGTCCGGGAAGATCGCATTCAGACGTTCCTTGAATGTCAGCAGTTGATCCCGATCGATAACGACGAAGGTATCATCCACATACCGGGCCCAGAACGTCGGTTTGTGGTGTTGGAAGACCAGCGACTCTAACCGTTGCAGGACCGCCTCGGCGATGAACCCCGAAATCGGCGAACCCATTGGTGTGCCCTTCACCTGTTCGTAGATTGTCCCGTCGAACGTGAAGTACGTCCTGAGACAGAACTTCAGCAGCTGAAGGACTTGGGCGCGTCCAAGACGATTCTCCGTTTCATCGTATTTGCTTTGTAGAAGCAGCTCGATTGTCTCGATCGCCAGGTCCTGGGGAATAGAAGTAAAAAGGGATGTAACATCAAAAGATACCATGACCTCATTTGGATGGAGGCTTACCCCTTTGATTTTCTCCAGAAATTCTGCAGACGAAGAGACCGTGGTGCCCGACTCAGCGGTCAGGAACTTGAGACGCCGGAACAGCCACTTAGCCAGTCCGTACGTTGGAGTACCTTTGAGCGACACGATTGGTCGTGCCAGCGGACAAGGGGCGCTCCACGGTTGTGCTGGACAGGACAGACTACCTTCAAAAAGCCAAAGGTTTACTGGAAGACCGACAGTTCTATGTCCCATGTGCAACGAGCCCTGTAAAAGCGCTGACACGCGAAATCAATGCTACGTTGTTGGCCTTGGAGAACTCATGTGCAATAACACCGACCGACAGACGCATGGTGAGACCCCAAGATACGGCTTTGGCCCGATTCTATGGCCACCCTAAGGTGCGCAAAGACGGCGCTCCTCTCCGACCCATCGTGTCGCTCAAAGGTACCACCACCACCACCACCACCACCACCACCACCACCACCACCACCACCACCACCACCACCACCACCACCACCAGGGGCGAGCAAAGACCCGATGCCCTACCGTCGCCCACCACCACCTCCATAATCACTGTCGCAACCCCCGCGCCAGCGGCGACGGCGACTGCACGGATGCTCATGTGACCGAATAGGCCGGTGCAGTGAAGGAATGGGCGTGGGTAGTGTGGTCAGTGGAGGCTGATACAGCAAGTGTATGTCGGGCCTCCTGGTGCTGGTACGCCGGTCTCGATGTGATGGATTCGCAATTGACCGAGCAAGCCGATGCGTGAGGCGAATGCGAAATAACAGTGGGATCAGTCTGGGGCCGAGCCCACATTTATGGCGATGTGAGAGTTGATGGCGAGGGTATCGATTAACGGGATATCTGGAGTGTTCTCAACGGTGGTCGGGATATGAGGGGTGGTAATCGTCGACGTCGTCTGAGGCGCCAGGGCATCATCAGTCTGTTCCCCGATGGTGTTGGTGTCGGTTATTTCCATGGACGCTGGAGGAGTTAGCGTAGGGCTGGCGGTAGGGGCGTTTGCGGAGACAGCAGTTGGAGTTGTCTGGTTGGTGTTGTATTGGGTCCGGAGATGTTTGACAAGGCTCAAATGCACAGGAAATGTTCGCTGACGGCGTGGACATTTTAAAGAGGTTTGAACGTTGACGTTATGTTTCGGAGGCGTTTTAGACTTGCAAACTGCACTTTTGACTTTGGCAGCAGTGATCCGGTTGACTTCCTAAAATGCTGTTCCCGTTTTCACTGCTCTTCTCTTAGCCGATCTGTCTAAAACGAGGTCCTTCCAGAACTCCGAGTTGATGTACGGTTCCTTAAAAGAGATTTTCAGAGTGTCCCTGTAGCGTCCTGTTGTCCTCCTTTTCGACGAGCGCCCGAGCGACATCGCTGTAGAAGAGCCGCTTGGGAATGCACTCGTCGTCCATCCTCACGAGGCGACCACTCCATCGCAGCATGAAGTGGATGCTGCATGGCGCGGATGACACACACCCGACTGTTTTACCTGTGCTATTCAACGTCTGCCCTACAATATGGTGGCCGCGGGGACGGTACGTGCACGTGAGTTATTGCCAATAGAGGCGAAGGGACGGGTTCTAGGAAGCAGTCTTGAAGAAGGAGACGCGATCGCCGGGACAAGAGCTTTATCGGCTATATTATATAAATTACATTATGTACTGGAAGATGGGCATCCCAAGAAACATAATTTGAAGAAGAATCACCGTGGCATCTCATTGCTGAACATCGCCGGGAAGATCTTCGCTCGCATCCTTCTCAATCGTCTGAATAATCATCCGGAACGGGGCCTCCTGCCGGAAAGCCAATGCGGCTTTCGTCGTCATCGTAGGACCACGGAAATGAGCTTCGCCGCCCGTCAACTTCAGGAGAAGTGTCAGGATATGCGGACCCACCTGTACTCTACCTTCGTGGACATGACGAAAGCCTTCGACACGGTGAATCGTGAAGGACTGTGGGAGATTATAGAGAAATTCGGCTGCGCGGAGCGATTCATTCAGATGGTGCGTCAGCTGCACGACGGTATGATGGCGCGAGTCACGGACAACGGTGCAGTCTCAGAGGCATTCGCAGTGACTAACGGAGTGAAGCAGGGATGCGTGCTGGCGCCCACCCTTTTCAGTCTTATGTTCTCCGCCATGCTGATGGACGCCTACCGCGACGAACGTCCCGGGATCCGCATCGCCTATAGGACGGACGGCCACCTGCTGAAGTAACGGCGAATGCACTTCCAGTCGCGCGTATCCACAACCACCGTCCACGAACTTCTCTTCGCCGACGACTGCGCCCTGAACACCACCTCGAAAGAGGACATGCAACGCAGCATGGACCTCTTCTCTGCCGACTGCGAGAACTTCGGTCTGGCCATCAACACGGAGAAGACGGTGGTCATGCGTCAACCGCCACCCAACACAGCCCCTCCCCCAACGCGCCTCCGCAAATCAGTGTAAACGGAACCCAACTGCAAGTGGTGGAGACCTTCCCATACCTGGGCAGCACCCTCTCCCTTAACAGCGAAATCGATGACGAAGTCGCTCGCAGGATCTCGAAAGCCAGTCAAGCCTTCGGCCGCCTTCAAAGCACAGTCCGGAATCGTCACGGTCTCCAACTGAGCACGAAGCTGAAGAGGTGCAAGGAAGTCATCCTGCCGACGCTGCTGTACGGAGCGGAGACTTGGACGGTGTACACAAAGCAGGCACGTCGACTGAATCACTTCCACCTCAGTCGTCTCAGTCGCATCCTGAGGCTGAACTGGCAGGACCGCATCCCCGACACCGATGTGCTGGAACGGACGGGAATCCTGAGCATCTACTCCATGTTGAGACAAATGCAGCTGCGCTGGAGCGGCCATCTGGTGCGTATGGACGACGAGCGACTACCCAAACGACTCTTCTACGGAGACGTCGCGACGGGTTCTCGCTGCCAAGGAGGCCGAATTTGTCGACACAAGGATACTCTGAAGTCCTCCCTGAAGCATCTGCAAATTAACCCGACCAACTGGGAAGAGCTTGCCCTCGACCCACCGACCTGGAGGAGGACAGTGAAGACAGGCGCTGCGATCTATGAGGCCAACCGAATCGCCGCTGCCAAAGTGAAACGCTAAGCATGCAAATCGCAGCTACGCCCCGTCCGCAACGCCGACGCACAACCGCTTACAACGTGTCGTCGGTGTCAACGGACATTCCGGGCACGATGTGGACTTATTGGACACATCCGGACCAACTGCACGTCTCGGACCGCACCAAACGTCGTCCCTTCGCTCGCCTCATCCTCGTCCCCTCCGCCGTCAACTAACTCTGACCACTCTTCTGAACCACCACTTCCATCATCCTCCTCCTCTTCCTCCTCCCCTACTTCCTCCCCCTCCTCCTCTTCCTCACATTCCCCCTTTTCCTCCGGCTCCTCCTCCCCCTCCTCCTGCCCCACTGCACCAACCACGGCCGCTCTGGTGGCCGTCACTCACACCAGCATCACACACATCCATGACACAACAACAGACACCATCCCTCCAACCTCCGACTCAGGGGGTGAGGACCAGGACTACACCTGCCCTCACTGCAACCGCACCTTCACCTCACATATCGGCCTGGTCGGTCACTTGCGAATTCATCGCGCGGAGACTGGCGAACCAGTGCCTGGAGTACCAACCTATACCCACCAAGCTCGCCTCCACTGCCCCCACTGCCCTCGCACTTTCATGCATCGCATGGACCTATTCGGTCACATGCGCATTCATGACGACCTGCAGTAGACAACCGCCGGTAACACCACACATCCACACTCACCCACCGCAAGCACCCAACTGCCATCTCCCACGCAAGTGGGAAGTGTACATCTCGACTCGGTCCCCATGCGGCTTCGGCTGCATGGATGACTTGAGTCTGAGACTATCCCGACACGTCAAGCATCGTGGATGGGAAGGTTGCTGATTGAGGCCCCCACTCGGTCCACGCAGTTCGTTGTGTTGTGTGTGTGTGTGTTGTGGGGAGTGGCGGACTGGTGGACTGAGGACGGGCTGGAACAGCACCTACCACGGCCCTCTCATGCAAGTGAGAGACACGCCGTTCAACCCCCGTTGTGTGAAATCCTGGTGTGTGTGTGTGTGTGTGTGTGTGTGTGTGTGTGTGTGTGTGTGTGTGTGTGTGTGTGTGGTCATGGTCAGTCGACCATGCCAGCCACCGTGCCAATTTCCCACTCCAGTCTGCTGACCGGCTCGGACAGCGGCTGGGGTGTAGGAATGGGAAGGGAGAGTGAGGTCGACGACTCAGCGCATTTCCTCCTCATTATAAACAATCTGACGCGCTTGAAGCTATCACGGTGCGCTAAAAGCCGTGGCTTGGAAGGTTGCCAACTTACGGGATAAATTGGACCTCATTCTGGACTGGAGGTCTGAGAGTCAGGCTGCAATGGCTCCTTCTTAATGTGGTCTTTATGGCACTCCCACTGTGTGGGATCCGAGCCAGGCGTCGGCGACACGCCTAGGTGCGACTTCGGCCGTGCCAGCCTCCAAATCTCTGTTGTGTTGGTTGAAATCCCGGTTATTTGTTGTGTGGACCAGGGGGTGTGGTGGAAAGCCAAGGTGAGGATCCGTCCGAGCCATCCACCTGCGGCCTCCCTCGTCTCCGGTCTTCTTGACTCTGCCTTGACACCGGGCTCGGGCGAGGGAGGAGGAGAGTGTGTAGGTAGATGCAGCGCAAGTCTACCGGCGCCATAAACCCCTGCGCAAGTCACCGTCCCTGCTCCCACCGCTGCTGCGGGGCACAAGGTGGACATCATCGAAATCGATGGTCGAACTATCATACATATATATATATATATTATAGTTGAGATGACACCGACAAAGACAAGGAAGACCGGAATGGCCATTTCTGGCTTATTCGCCGTCATCAACCAGTCATACCTAACCCCAAGTGTGGATCACTTGAGATTCGGACCCGGGATCTTTGGTCATGGAGTTTGACGCTCTACCATTGAGCCACGGGCCTGTTGTCCTGTCGGTTGTGATCGGGAATATTAATTATGACAGTGGGCGCTCGCCGATCAGGTTACGGAACATGCTCGTTCCGTTGTGCCTTGGGGCTCATACTAGAACCCTCGCAGGCAGTTGCACAGCGACTAGTACTAGGCATAGATGAGATGATACCGACAAAGACAAGGGAGCATGTTCCGTAAGCTGATCGGCGAGCGCCCACTGTCATAATATATTATAGTATATTGTTATATTATTAGTTTATATTAATTCTATTAATTATTATATTAGTTTTATTATATTATTATCTATTATTATATTATTATGCATTATTATATCGATGGTGCACTTACGCCACATCTATTGCACCCGCACATCATTTTCGTCCTGCGTATGGCCTCATAACAGAATCACTAATACCGGAGGCAGGAGGAAACTCAGGTGGCGAAAATCCGCACCCAGGCGTACCACCACACCCTCTGGCTCACAACGCACACTGACCAGGATTTTACGCAACAAGAGCTCAGCTCTTGCGTGAGCGTGCCACCACATCCCAATGTTGGCATTTCTTATAGGTGCGCATTCCGGAGAACGCCTGCCGGATTCCAATCCCGTCCCTGCGTTGGTCCAGCGCATCCACCGCGGGGTCCGTTTTAGGGGCATATACACGACAGTTCGAACGTCGGTTCCGACGATGTCCACTGTGTGCTACACAGCAGGGCGAGAGCAGGGACGGTGACTTGTGCCCGAAGTAGTTTATAGTAATAGAAGACTTGAACAGCATCTACCGCACTCTCTCCTACCTCACCTGAACTCGGTGTCACGACATAACCAAGACGACCAGGGGCGGGAGAGGGCACAGGTGGATGGCATGGTCGAGCCCGCACCTGGGCGTGCCACCACGCTCCCTGGTCCACACAACAAATGACCAGGTTTTTGACCAAGAACAACAAGGGGGGCGACAGGGATCCCAGTGTGCGCGATGTCTGCCGGCAACCGGGTCTGCCACCGCACCCCGAAATGTTGGCATTTGTTATGGTGCGCAAATCCGATAACGACTGCCAGAATCTGAAATGACCCCCGTGTTGACTTAGCGCGTCCACCACGTGGCTCGTTTGGGGGAAACACTAGGGGCACATGCCACCACACACACACACACACACACACACACACGACAGTTCGACCGTCGATTTCGACGATGTCCACCGTGTGCCCCACAGCTGCAGCAGCGGTGGGAGCAGGGACGGTGACTTGCGCAGGGGTTTATAGTGCCGGTAGACTTGCGCNCAGATACGGGAAGTTCTCTACCACTTGCAGTTGATTTCCGTTCACGCTGATTTGCGGCGGCGCGTTGGGGGCTGTGGCTGAGTTGGGCGGCGGTTGGTGCATCACCACCGTCTTCTGCGTGTTGATAACCAGCCCAAAGTTCTCGCAGGCGGCGGAGAATAGGTCCATGCTCCGTTGCATCTCCGCTTCGGAGGTGGTGTTCAGGGCGCAGTCGTCGGCGAAGAGGAGTTCGTGCACGGTAGTTGTGGATACGCGCGATTGGAAGTTCATGCGCCGTTGATTCAGGAGACGACCGTCCGTCCTGTAGGCGATGCGGATTCCAGGGCGTTCGTCGCGGTAGGCGTCCATCAGCATGGCAGAGAACATAAGACTGAAGAGGGTAGGCGACAGCACACAGCCCTGCTTCACTCCGTTGGTCACTGCGAATGCCTCTGAGACAGCTCCGTTGTCCGTGACTCGCGCCATCATACCGTCGTGCAGCTGACGCACCATCTGAGTGAATCGCTCCGGACAGCCGAATTTCTGCATGATCTTCCACAGTCCTTCACGATTCACCGTGTCGAAGGCTTTCGTCAGGTCCACGAATGTAGAGTACAGGTGGGTTCGCATCTCCTGGCACTTCTCCTGGAGTTGGCGGGCTGCGAAGATCATATCCGTGGTCCCACGATGACGACGGAAGCCGCATTGGCTTTCCGGCAGAAGGCCCTGTTCCAGATGGTTATTGAGGCGGTTGAGCAGGATGCGAGCGAAGATCGTCCCGGCGATGTTCAGTAGGGAGATGCCGCGGTGGTTGTCGCAGACTGGGCGATTCCCTTTGCGCTTGTAAAGGTGCACGATATTTGCGTCCTTGAAATCTTGCGGGACTTCACCTTGACGCCACATCTCCTGGAAGAGCGCAGTCAGGTGATCCATCAGTAGGGGACCTCCGTGCTTGTAGACCTCAGCAGGGATGGCGTCCGATCCGGGTGCTTTCCCGCTGGAGAGCTGCTGCGCGGCCCTGATCGTTTCCTGGAGAGATGGCGGGAGGTCGAGGTCCACGTTGGTCGCCACTTGCGGCAAGCGGGCGATGGCGGCGTCGGAGATGACGGAAGGGCGGTTGAGGACGCCTCGGAAGTGCTCGGCCCATCGCTGTAGTATTTGCGTCTTCTCAGTCAGGAGAGTGCTGCCGTCGGCGCTGAGGAGAGGAGCGGTGCCCTTCGTCGGCGGACCGTAGACAGCTTTGATCGCGGAGAAGAAGTTCTTCCATTCGTTGCGGTCCGCGTAGCCTTGGATCTCCTCAGCTTTGCGAGCAGTCCAGGCGTCCTGCATCTCGCGCAGTCGTTGCTGAAGCTGTCGGCGACTGCGGTAGAAGGCAGCTTTGTTGTCCTCAGTAGGGTGATCTACGTAGGCTTTGTGTAGGCGGTTCTTCTCGGCAAGCAGATTTCTGATGGCGGCGTCGTTGTCGTCGAACCAGTCCTGGTGTTGGCGGGGAGCGCGACCGAGGACGGCGAAAGCCGTCGACTGGACCGTGTCTCGCAGCTGACACCAGCGGTTCTCCACGGAGGTGTTCTCGGCAGCGGCGGCGGCGGCGGCGGCGTCGGCGTCGGCGGCAGCGATAGGAAGTTTGTCTAGCCGTTGAGCTAGCTCATTGCTGAAATGGAGACGGTGAGCAGGCAAAGACAACAAAGCAACATTCAGCTTACCTGGGGGTCGCTTACCTTGTGGTCTCCTGCGAGGCTGTAGGCGAATACGCATCTTCGAGATGACGAGTCGATGGTCGGTCCACCCGTCAGCACCCGCGATCGCCTTCGTCACCAGCACGTCCCGCTGATCTCGCCTCCGAACGAGGACATAGTCCAGCAGGTGCCACTGACGCGACCGAGGATGCCTCCAGGTGGCCTTCTCTCGCTCCG